AGGTTCCTTAGACGTTGTTTCCTGCAAATGACGCGATTTTGGCTCCGGGTCAGTGGGGCCTAAGAGGAAGAGGCAACCAGAGAATTTAAAACTTGTTATATTGTTTAATTTACTGTTTCACCAGACATGAAGCATTATTTTACTCTATGACATAATTTAAGAGAAAGATATTTTATAGAAATCAGAATAGGTAATCACACTCTTTGTTTACAATCTCACTATTAATTTAAACACTTTCAAAGTTAAGTGAATACTATGTTTGCAGTCAGATGTCCTATACAGTAGCAATGTAAAAGTACAATAGAGTTGTTGTTGTTGTTGTTATTTTAAGCTGAATAGAACCCTGAACAGAGTAACTGTTATTTGTTTCTGTGTTTCTTTGTGGCCAAGCAGAAGTCGCACCTACAGAGTCTACCTGGGAAAACACAATCTGAAGAACAACAACGAGGATGGTTCCATCGCCATCAGCCCCTCCAAGATCGTCGTCCACGAGAACTGGGACTCCTACAGAATCCGGTGGGCTTAATAATGTCCCTCTATCTGACGGACTATGCTAGTGTCCTGTCCATGCTATTAATGCTCATTAACATTCTGTTTCTGTATGTGGTATTTACATTCCTGCCATAGTAATGACATCGCCCTGATCAAGCTGGCAACCCCTGTCACTTTCTCTAATGCCATCATGGCTGCCTGTCTCCCCAACTCTGGTGACATCCTGCCTAACGCTTCTCCTTGCTACGTCACTGGCTGGGGTCGTCTCTGGAGTAAGTCCTATATATATAAAAAGGAACTCTCAACAATGATGTCTCATATCTTTAAAGTTGTATCGATTCATTTTTTATTTATTTATTTGTTTATTCCACATATGGGAGTTATTTTAAAACAAAACATGAACACTTTACAAAACATGTATACTTATACTGGTTTTTTAGCACATGGTGGAAAGGAGCAGGGAGAAGAAAATCGTATTTTTCCTGCCCCTACTTACAAAAAAATAACAAAACAAAAAAAAATGAAATAATCATTAAAAAGTCAAATAAAAGCAATATTCTTTCAGTCGCTTACAAATTCTGAAACATAAAACCAGAATATAATCAAAAATCTACTTCATACTGTCTAACAACACTTTCTTTATACATTTTCCTAAACATAAAAATGTTCTTACATATTTTCAAAGTTGTGTGAGCACAGCAACTTATTCCAGCTTCTACTTTCAGTTTTAAAATACATTTGGAGTTAATATTCTCTGATATTCCTAACAAAACTTAACAATCTTTAAGAAACTCATTTTTTGGCCTATGTTTGAATGAAAAAGCTATCAATTTGAGCTAGTTTTAGAATAAATCATGTATAAACTGGTCTTGGTCATCCCAGAATCTCAATACCCTGTTCTCTCTTAAAGCTGGAGGTCCCATCGCTGACATCCTGCAGCAGGCCCTCCTCCCTGTGATCAGCCACTCCAACTGCTCCAAGCCTGACTGGTGGGGCAGCCTGGTCACCAACGACATGGTCTGTGCAGGAGGAGACGGACAGCTGGCTAGCTGCAACGTGAGTCTGATTCATATTATTTTACAAACTCATCTAATTTATAATTACAGTAGTAGTAAAGCTAAATCGCAGAATACGCTCAACATGTCATTTTCTAAAAGCACATGCCACCTTATGTAAATTGTTTTGCAAAATATTACATTTGTCTCTATGCCACTACAGGGAGACTCCGGCGGTCCTCTGAACTGTCAGAGCTCTGATGGCTCCTGGGACGTCCACGGTGTGGTGAGCTTCGGCTCCAGCATGGGCTGCAACTACGCCAAGAAGCCCTCCGTCTTCACCAGGGTCAGTGCCTACATCCCCTGGATCAACAACGTGAGTGATAATGCATTGGACAGTAAAGTATTTGTACAAAGAATCCCAATGTACATTAAATACACGTATTCATTGTTGTCTTGGGCAAACAGAAGTCCAACATTTTGAAATGTCTCTTTTTACTGTTTTAAGGACAGCATACAACTAAAATAACACAGAAAGACCTTGAACCATTCATGGTGATTTTTGAAATTAGACGCAATTCAGAGAAATTGCTGTATTCAAAAGAGGAAAACCCTATGTTTGCTGAAAATTGAAACAATGATTAATAAATTATGCAAATTATGAAACACCACACTAATGATCATCTCTGTATTTGAGTTACTAAATAGCTCAGAAGAGTTAAGTGGAGATGAGTTACAATGCTCTACTGCCCTCTAGTGGAGTGTTTTAAAAATATTCACGTTATGTTTTCTTTTTTTACCCCAGGTGATGACCAAGAACTAAGATGTGGTTGATTTGAGTCATTGTTGGTTGTCGCACTTTATCAAATAAAGAATGTAGTGGTTAATACAGTGTCTTCTATGTCTGTTTTGTTTTTAAATAAATCAATCTAAACCTCCTTTTGCTGAAGCTTACACTGAACAACAAAAATGTGATTGTCATGTTTGCTGTTTCACATGGTTTGAACATACTGTATGATTTTGAAATATAGTCAAATGTTTTAGAATGTTATATATGTTTTGAATCATCTCTTCTTCTCATCATCATTAAAAAGGCCTGTTGTGAAAAAAGCTCTCACTTCGGCAAATGATGAGATTCCCTGACTGCAGCTTTAACATTATGTTTATAGATTACCCATTACAGAAATGTGGATACAAGTGAAAGCTGGGCCTCATGACATTCTCAATTTATTTTATTGTGAGGACCACCATGTACACTTGGTCAGTAATAACCATCTTTTGGAATACCAGAAAAATCCATTTCATATGACAGACATAGTGATGAATAAAAGTAAAATAACAAACACAACATTTATTTTCCATATAACCATTTAGTGCCCACATATTGGTCAATCCTTTATAAACTTGCAAAAACATATCTATTACTAATTGAGATTTGGATAAGAAAGCACATAATTTCAAAAGTGAATAAAAACAACACATTTGTAAAAACAATGCACACAAAACCTAAGATATCTGCTTGTTTTAGACTTTGTAAAAAGCTTGGCGAGATGAAGCCTTGTGAAGCTTTGAATTTTTTCCAGCCAATTGGTTCTCAAAAGGGTTCATCTCATGAGGCTTCATTTGAACCCCCCTGTTGGTCAAAGTGTGTAAAACAGGCAGATTTGACATCTCAGCAGTGTGCTCTATCTGATACCGAGTTCCCAATGAGTAAAGCCTTATAATTACTCTAAACAACGAACATTACATCATATTTTCATGTTAACAATATTGTATTTATTCCAGTTTAATGATTGTGATTGAAAAGCCTAAAGAGGCTTGTAAACATTGCAAAGAGGGATTTGTATGCTGAAGGTTCTTATTATACATCCATGGGTAATATGAGCGTTGTGATTCAACCTCAACCGATCTAAAGCACTTTCTGAAGCAGTCACGTGGTATTGAGGGGCAGCGAGGCTTCGTTTGTCATCGGTGACGTCACTGGCCCAAAACGATACAAGCCTCGATACAAGCTTCATAAAAAATGTCGGGGATTAGGCTACTCGACGCACGCTCCGAAGCCTCGGCGCAATACGTAACATCACTACCTACAATGCTATCAAAATAACTTATTTTAAGAAGAACTTCCGCTGTATATCTAGCTTGTTTACAAATATGTTGTTGCAGTCAATTCCATTATTTAAATCAATAAAAATGGTTTATTTTGTGTACACTTTCAAATATGGTAATTGCGTCCAGATTAGGCGGAAGTAGCAAACAAGTCACCTCTGTTGTATGTTAGCTGTTCCCTCAAACAGGCTAATGTAATTGGTGTCATTTTAGCATTTAAATGCTTCTGTACAAATGTAGCTTATATAAGCTACATTTGTACAGAAGTCAGAAACAGGTATTTGTAAACTGTAAATCTTAAGTGCAACATTTCTAACACAGTGTCTATCTTTACAGAAAAGCAATTAGGGGTACATTTTAAAAAGTAGGCTACATGATTGTGTAGCCATACAAGCTAACATGTGGTGGGCTCTGTTCTTTGAGTTTGTTGCAACAATTGTTATTAAATAACATTGGTTAATTTTCCTTGGATTGCAGCTCCAGTGTGTTCCCGCTGCAGGATTCAGACATGGTGACTGACCTCCTTACTCTTTTATTTGGCAAGTAACATAAACATCAATTTATCACATCTGATTTCAATGTACTGTACTGTGTCCATACCATATACTATATACATAAATACTTGCATTGTGATGAGGAAATGCTGCTGGCAATATGCTGGTACAGCTTGTGTGCCTGATGTCAAAATGATGTATCATTTTTGGCGTTTGGAGTGTGAGGCATTTAAACCTGTTTTCAGTATACACTATTTATGCGGTTAAATGGCTTGATCAACATTTGACAAAGTTGCAACTGGTAGAAACAGTTTTGCATATTTTTGTTGTGGTATTTCATGCAGAGCAGCTTGTGTGTTTAAATGGTGAGGTTTTGTAACTGTTTGTGAGTGAGCTAGTCCTTCGGAGGTTTTCTAGAAGAACACACAGCTTCTTAGCTGCATTTAACATGTAACTTCTAACACAAGACCATCATAACGTGATTTGTGTTGAACCAGTTCCTTTCAGGCTAATTACATTTTCACAGTATCAAAACAATATTTGTTGGTCTGAATCTTTTTGAGGATATAATTTCTGCTTTTAATTCACCTTTCTGAAGTACTGAATCCTACAAAATACTTCAATAATGTTTTTTTCAAACATTCATAACTTTCAAAGGCTTTTGTCCAAAGTGCTCTCCTTTAAACATTACACCATACTGTATACATAATCCGATGTTATGTATCTATTTTTGTATCATCAGTCATCTTGCTCATAAATGTTGGTTACAAATCCTGTCGTCCAGTTTTCCGTGTTGTATTATTTTAAGAAAGAAGAGCAGACACTAAACGCTTTGACTATTAAGCTTTTTAAAATGCAGGAAAGGCATTGTTTAAACTTTAAGGGGTACTACATCAGATTAAAAATATATTCGCAATTAGGATCATTTTCTCTTCCCATTATGTATCACTCTCCTCTGGGAACTGATACACAAAAAATGAACAAAAAAAGGGTTCTTTAGTCACAACCCCAATTACTATCCTGTCTGGTACCCAGAAGATGTCATTTATAACCATGATGTTCCACAGTAATTATTAACAAAGAACCACGATGGCTCTATTTAGCTCCCAGGGCTCATTTGCATGGTAATTATCATTAGCATCACAGAGAAACAAGTCATGGAAGTGAAAAATAACCTCCTATCCTCATTTTCTCATGTTTTTATTCAGGTCACTTCCATCGCAGTTTTCTTTAAGTTTTCATCTCCGTTGTTTAACCTTAAAGATCCCATGTCATGCTTTCCTGGTTATTTCCCGTCCCCTTGTGTGTTATGAAGGTTTTTATGCATGTAAACGGTCTGCAAAGTCACAAACCCTCAAAGTACACCCTGTAGCGAGTAAAACTCTTACACAGAAAAGACCTGTATATGCTGCCCCAGAAAGCCTCGTTGGAGATTTTTATTTTTCCATTTTTTTCTTCCTGAGTATATTGACGTAACTTTACCCAGGTCCAACCAATCCGTGGAGCTCCTCACACACACACATTCACTCAGCCTTATCTTTTCACAGCCGCGCTACTCCTCTGAGTTTTGCCGGCACACACCTTATCTTTTCTCAGCCTCGGCTCCGTGGATCTCCACTCACAGTTCGCCACACACTCATGTGTGTGTGCTCAGGTTGAGTTCCTCACTGTCTCGCTGTCTCACTGTCTCGCTGTCTCGCAGACCCCACGCAGCAACCAGGAAACTACACCAGTAATCCAGCTCACACTGTCCGCTCCTCGAGCCTCAAAGGGCGGAGCAGCGAGCCCCGCAACGTCCCGCCAACACGGCACCCAGACCCCACGCAGAATTCTCATCTGTTTGTCATTACTGGTGTCCTTTTCTGGTTGCTAACAAACGCCATTGTAACACATAAACACACATCAGAGCACAGTGGGCTTATAGGGAGGGGGGGGGGACCAGGAGCTCCAACAAGGCATATAGGACAGAGAGTGAATACACATACTATACAGAGATGCTGTATGAGAAAACCAATGTGATTTTGGAACATTGAACAATGTAAATATATTCTAGATCTCAACAATGGAATTATGATCAGTAGAAATGGCCATGACATGGGACCTTTAAAGATCACAAACCCTCTAGTCTAATAGAAACAATATTGTAATGTTTAAGTGACTTAATGCTTTGGGCAAGATCTCCAATAGATCTGATTTCACATTAGCACAGCATAGAACATTATTTATCCATTGAGCAACAAAGCTTTGAAGAGCAACCTTACATAATTTATTCCAAGTGGGATTTTATTCAGTTAATATTTCCATTCCTCTTTCTATAAGATGACGAAATCCCATAATATCACCCTGGCACCTACAATTAGTCCTTTTTTAATGTAAAATGGAAAGGTCTGTCTGAAAATGGTTCTCTTTCGCCACAAGATGGCGACAGATTACTGTTTAGGAGCCATTTCACACAATGTGCATTGTCCAGATAACTTCTCAAAATGTGAACCATGTGTTAGATTGAACATAATTCCTTGATTGATCCATTATACTGTATATTTTAAACCACTGCATATTAATATGCCTAAGTTTAGATACACATGTTTTTAAATGCATTATTTAAACAAATTACAATTTTGTAATTAAAATAGGGCATGATCTTGTTAATAAGGTTAGTTACCATTATAAAATCTACTTTTACAAGGTGGAGTCAAATCCCAGATGATAAACCCAACAAGGTGGATGATGGCGATTTGTTAATACTATATTTTTGGTTGTCTTTTGTTTTTATTTTTTTTATGTTGGAATGAATGCGTTGTTATTTACTTTTTATTCTAGATAGATTTAAAATTGCGAGTCTCCTTAGCACTGGTACTGGTGAGTGATGACGTAATGTTACATTTCCAACCTTTTCTTGCTGAGACTGTGGTATATTGTTGAATTACCATAAAAGTTCTCTAAAAAGCTACACAGCTCCTTTCTCAAGACGCTTGTTTCTGATTTAACCCTATCATATGTAGTTTGCCTGTGTGGGCATGTGATGCTGTTAGTGCGTACATGAAAATGTATTTGTCAGAAAATAGCTTTTTTCTACTGAAACAGAAAAATCTCCATTGTTGAATGTCCAACAGATTTACTTTGACATGAAACAGCTTGTGTCTGCCTGAGCCTCAGACACCAGCAGGTGTGAGGTTTCCAGTCCGTGCACTCAACCCAACAAGCAGTAATGTCGAACAAATGTAACCTTTCAGCCTCTCCTGTGCTGCGATGAGATGTTTTTGGCTCTCTGTAGGATTCCTGGATGGC